GAGTTCTTCATACTTGTCGGCCCCATCAGTGGTTGCTGCCACCCGGTGGATTATGGAGGCTGCCGGGACACAGGTTCCAATCTTGGTTCCTCTGCCAATCGTCACAGGGTAGTTATTTATGTTGATAAATCGAACAGGTACATGGTCGTCTGCCGACAGTAAAGCCTTGCCGACTAAAATTCCACGTCCGACTTCCTCGTCATGGTTCCAGGGTTCCATGATGATGGGACTGCCTCGCTCCAATGTACCTTCCATCCGTGCTGCGACAATGGTCTCACTCCTTTTCGGTAACAGGACATTCTCTTTTAACGTTACCCCTGCCGCTACCTCCACCCGTGGATGTAAGAAGATCTCTTCGGCACCCACCTTGAGTGTTCGGCTTCTAAAGTCCAGTTGAATTCCTTGCGCACCCATGATGTCCATTCCCAGAATAACATCTTCTTCAATATCTGCCATGATAGCTCGATGTGGAAATTTGACGGTCCCGATCGATATATCCACATCGATTTCCCCATAAACGGTGGCAGCTTCACCCGTAGCAGTTCTCAGACGCCATCTTGATTTCACAAGTTGTTTTCTGGAAGACGGCAGAAGTCCACGTCGCAGGATCGTCTTCGATGCACCAGTATCCACCAACAATGCGCATTTCTTTCCGTCGATCTGTCCATCTACGTAGACCCTGCTGTTATCACGCCGTAGGGATGCCACAAAGATGAGAGGATCTTGAGAATGACGGGTCGAAGCTGGTTTCTTGTGATCGGCCCGCTTCAGTTTCCCTGCAGTCGTTTGAACTGGTCTCTTTTTCTCATTTAAGAGGCCCTTGATGGCGTTTATCAAGGCTTCATTAGGATCTTGCCTGGTATTTTCCGCTATGTTTCCGCTGTCGTTCATTGTTCGGACTCTCGCTGATCCTCGAGAAGCTTCTGCTGCGGCCTCGATCTCAAGCGCAGCTGTCAGAGCACTGGTGAGGTCTTTTGGTCGAGTCAGGCGAACTGCTTTCTGCATTTCAATATCTCGTAGTCCATCTACGAACGTTTGAACAGCCAAGCATTTCATAAGAGATTCGGGAGCTGATGGATATGCACAATGAACCAATCGTGCAACGTCCACTTCGAATTCTTGCAGGCTCTCGTTGACTCTCTGTCGACGGCTCTCCATTTGTGATTGAAATACTTGCTGAAGATGTTCGTGACCATAACGCATTTCGAGGCGTTTGACGAGATGATCGTAGCTATCGGCTTCTAAGTAAGTAAGTAAGTAAGTAAGTAAGTAAGTAAGTAAGTAAGTAAGTAAGTAAGTAAGTAAGTAAGTAAGTAAGTAGTAAGTAAGTAAGTAAGTAAGTAAGTAAGTAGTAAGTAAGTAAGTAAGTAAGTAAAGTAAGTAAGTAAGTAAATTTATTCAAATCAGATATAACAGATACAGATACGTCTTCAACAGAAGCAAAGAGGATACATGAATATATAAATTCTATAATCCTAGGAGAACCATTGTAAGTTGCGGCTACCTAAGCAAGCTTGTATTGTAGCCCCAACAAAATAGTAATCCTATTTCTAAACAATGATACATATTATCCTATAGCATGTAGGAGAAGGAAGAGATAGTGAGAGGAAGAGATAGTGAGAGGAAGAATTAGAGAGAGAAAGAATTTGTGTGTGTGAGAAAGAGAGAGAGAGAGAGAGAGATATGTAGTTGTTGTGAGCTCTTATATGCACTTACAATAAACGTAATTCATTGATTAGTTATTCCAGTATCAGTAGAAGCATGTTATAATTGTCAACAACAAATTTTTTCAATTCTCTTTTAAATTTGATTTTGTTTCTCATACATTTTAATGGTGTAGGTAGAGTATTGTACAGTTTTGGACCGAGATACGAAATGAATTTTTGATTATGCGTGAGTCTACAACATGGAACATTCATGGTCTGATTTGAACGTGTACGAGTATTGAATGCATGCTGTACAAATGTGATTGAAGAGTTGGCAGTCCATAATATGCTTTGATATATATAAAGTTTCCTAACTCCGAATAATCCAGTTTCATTATACAACGACTGAGTACAGTATCTCCGATCTTTTTTCAACATAATTCTTATTATTGAGTTTTGAGTCACTTTTAAGTTATCCAGCGATGTCTTGAAGATACCGCCCCATACTATTATACAGTAACGTATTATGGAATTAGCCAAGGCATCATAAACCATCAATATCATCTTCCTGTTTATTATATTCCTAAGCTGGTAAAATTTATAGATTAATTTACGTAGTCGGGTTACTGTATAATCAATATGTTCCTTCCACCGAAGTGATTGGTCCATCATTATCCCTAGGTACTTTATTGTCTCAGTTTTAGAAATAGCAGCACAGCTACAGTTGTGAACATTCGCACAAGATGTTTTATGAACATTTATTATATTTTTCTCTGGTTGGTCTCTAGTAGTTGGAGAAAATGCAATGAATTTGGTTTTTTTGACATTGACACTCAGTAAATTGCCACTCAACCAGTTAAAAATCATTTTGATGCCTATTTCCGTCTGGGTATATACCTCTTCCCAGGTCTTTTCAACAAAAGTGATAGCTGTATCATCCGCAAATGAGGTTATTTTACCATTGAAATCAGAAATTTTGAAGATGTTGTTCATGTACAGAAGAAATAGGATAGGTCCCAATACAGTTCCCTGGGGTACGCCCCGGGTAACTAGTAGTGGGTCGCTGAAAGAATCGTTCACCTTGACTACTTGCGTTCTATTTGTCAAATAATCTTGAAATATATCCAAAGCAACACCTCTCACACCTATGTTATCCAGACGCTGAAGAAGTATATTGTGATCGACAGTACCAAATGCCTTGGCCAAATCCAAAAACACAGTTATGCATTTTTTATTTTGTTGGAAACAATTGTTTATTTGGTTAACTACTTCAAATACTGCTCTTTCAGTTGATCTGTTTTCCAGAAAACCATATTGAGATTCTGAAAAGATATTATTATTATTGCAGAATTGAACCACTCTATTTTTGAGACATTTTTCGAATAATTTTGAAAAGTTATTGATCACTGTTATTGGTCGATAGTTAGTTACCAGTTTTTTATCACCTGATTTAAATATCGGTGTTGTGATTGAATTTTTGAAAGAATTGGGTAATTTTCCTACAGTAAATATTAAATTGAAAATGTGACAAATGGGTTCTAGGAAGTGTATGTGGAGCTTTTTGATTGTGAACACAGATATCTTATCAGGACCGGGTGACGTATTATTTTTTAGACCCGAAATGATATCGATCAACTCGTTTCTTGTAACTGGGTGTAGGAATATTGAGTTGGTGATGTTGTTGTTGTTTTCCATAACTGGGGATGTGGGCTTTTCTATTTTACTTGCCATATCTGTACCAATTTCGACAAAGAACTTATTGAAAAAGTTTGCCTTTTCTTTATCTAACATAATTTTTTGTCTGTTCTCATCTTCAATACTATAATTAATAGATTTCTGTTTCGCGCCATTTGTTATTTCATTCACATTTTGCCAAACTTTTTTTAAATCATTTTTCGCCTCTAGTATTTTATTTTCATAGAATTTATTTTTTGTATCTCGGATAAGTTTCGTCAAAAAGTTTCTATACAGTTTATATTCAGTTTGTTTTTCTATGGAGAAGCCGGCCAGAAGATTCCGTTTTAGTTTGTCTCTGTGATGTATTGAAATGAGAAGGCCATCTGTCATCCACGATTTCAATTTTGTCTGTTTATTAGATTTTTTTTTCAGTTCTGTACACTTGTTGATATGATTTTTTAATTTGTCAATAAAGGTATAATATGCAAATTCTGGGTCTCTCGATTGCATAATTGACTCCCAAGTTTCTTTCTTGAGAGCTTTCGTTAGCTTATTATAATTAATCACGCTGTATGATTTTTCTGTGCACACATTGGTTGTTTTCAACTTTTCATCAAGTTTCACCGATAACAGTAACATATAATGATCAGTTATATCACATTTGAATATATACGGGTTAATTAGAATCTTTGATTTCTTGGAAATTTTTGCATAAGCATGATCTATTAAACTTGTGGAGTTAGTCGTTTCTCTGGTTGGTTTATTTATGAATGAAAAAAATCCCATCTCAGCCATCAAGCATATGTAATTATTAACCAGTGTGTCTGTCGTGTTCAATATATTTATATTTATATCTCCAATGAATATTTTTATGTCTGCTTCTGGTTGATTCGAAAAATAGGACTCAATATCCGATAAATACGTATCTAGGTTAGACGATGGTGGACGATATGATGCAGTTATTAAAAATGATCTATTACATATCGAGAATGATATCTCTAATAAGTTGATTTCACTCAAGTGTTTTATAACAGAAGAAAAGTTGATATCTTTCCTGATGTAAACTACCAGACCGTCGTTCTGGTTGAATTGAGATTCATTATATAATATATCAAAATTTGGAATGGAAAAAATTTGTATATCATCAATTAACCATGTTTCAGATAATATTATAATATCAATATCAGTTGTATTGACTGACTGAATATATAAAAGAAATTCGTCCATATTTCTCCTCATACTTCTGATATTGAGGTGGAATATATTAAAAAAATGCTCACCACTGAAACGTTTCACATTGTCCTCCAAGTTCTCACAAACCACAGTTTCTCTCTCCTCATATTTTTCAATATGGTCTAAAAAATTCAGCATATTAGTGCCCTGTTGTGTTGTAAATAAGAATTGTGTGATTATGTTTATAAAATGAAATGATAATAGAGTAAGGGATGTATAGTTATTGTAAGAAAAATATTACGAAAATTGAGAGGTTAAAAGAAGGTAAAGGTAAGAAAGATAAAGTGTTTCTTTTTCGTAGAAAAGACGGGTAATCTAGCTAGACTAAAGTATAATTGCTCTGGTCTAAATATATATTGATTAAATTTTATCAAACGGCTGAAGCTTCATGTGCTCTTCAACACAATTTTATATTGATATAGAATAAAGAATGAAAAAGAGAAAGAATTCATGAGAGAGAACTATTATTAATATGTTTTGATAAGTCTTTCTTGCAGGTGATCTTGGTTTTCTTTCCGTGTATCGCGGCATATATTTGTCCATTGAATGACCATGCATTTTTCACTCCATAAGCAGATTTCGCTTCCATTAACAACAGTCTTCTGTACTTTGTTAGGTCTTCGTTGAAATATATTTTTGTGCCTCTGAATGTTGCTCCACGTTTGAATATTTCAGACTTTAGCTGTTGTTTTGATAATCTTATTATTGATGGTCTGGGTTTGTTTTGATTTTCATGATGTACTCCAACTCTGTATGCATATTGTACGTCGTTATTATCTAATTCCATATTTGTTTTGGTGTTAATTATTTCCAGTATCTTTTTCAGCAGATCTTCATTAGGTTCCTCAGCCACCCCGTATACACAGATATTATTTACTTTCGCTCTCTGATGAATATTATCAATTTCTTGTTGAAAGATATCTACTTTTTGCTCTAATTTGTTAATGATTTCTTTCTGAGTTTTTACCTCTTCTTCAAGGTTCCTTAGTTTTTCTTCTATTCTTTCAGCTATCTTATTTGTTAGTTGACTAATGAATTCTTTGTTGAGCAAGAATTCATTGATGGAATCTGTGACTATAGCCGTTATTTCTTGTTTATTTCTAGTGTTCATCATACCTGGATATATTGGGTGTCGTTATTCTATTCACTTAATTTGATTTTTGGAATTCAACACCGCGTTTATGCCGTTTTATTCACACTATGAACCGGAGCAATATATTCACGTCTATTCTGTTCTAAACATCTGACTGAATGGCTTGCAAGATGTTCAGTGCATCACCCCGTAGAGCTACTGTAAGAGCTACCACCTTGTCCTTGGATGTCCACCCATTGGCTTTGGAAGCTGCTTCGAACTGCTTCAAATAGTTCGGCCACGATGTTTTTCCATCGAATGTAGGTGGTTTTACTCGATTGGTAGTAGTCACTGCATCTGGCCCAACTGTGGTTTCAATCATCAGTCCTTGATCATTTCCAGACTTCTCCAGCACAGCTATTCTTTCTCTTTCGAGCTGCAGCTCCTTCTTAATTTCTTCTATCTGGGTGGTGAATTGGGTTGAAACCTGATCGATCTGAGTCATAACTTCTTCCCGATGTGTTGATATCTGAGTCAATACTTCTTCTCCTTGGGCTGATATCTGGGAGGCGATCTGATCTTGCTGAGCAGAAATACGTGCCAGTACCTCTTCTCGCTGAGTGGTCATCTGAGCTAATACCTCGTCTCGTTGGGCTGAGATTTGGGAGGCTATCTGATCTTGCTGAGCTGAGATCTTCTCTTGCTGAGCCACCATCTGGTCCGCAATCTCCTGTCGCTGAGCCACTATCTCCTGTCGCTGAGCCGCAATCTCCTGTCGCTGAGCCGCTATCTGTTCCGTAATCTTCTCCTGCTGAGTCACCATCTGGGCCGCAATGTCCTGTCGCTGAGCCGCAATCTCCTGTCGCTGAGCCGCTATCTGTTCCGTAATCTGTTCCGTAATCTTCTCCTGCTGAGCCACCATCTGGGCCGCAATGTCCTGTCGCTGAGCCGCTATCTGTTCCGAGATCCCAGCCAACATCGATTCCGCTGAAGCTGGTTCCTCGAAGGTGAACGTCTCTGGATCCTGACCTACGCTCACCATATACTCTATGAGACGATGCTGAAGTGTAGCCTTGATCCCTGTTGTGTCGAGATCTCTCTCCTCCAACTCGCGTTTCAAGTCCACCACTCTCAACTCGTGTAATTTCTTCATAACGACGGTCTGTTCACTTCACACTGGAATATCCCACACTTCTGACACCAATTATTACGTTATTCGGGTGCAGAAGCGAACACGACACTATTTATTTTCGAACTGATTTATTTGAACTATAGAAACACTAATTTATAACGAACTTATAACTACTATTTATGTAAAACGATTTATATCACGCGGTATATAGCTGTCTCTGTGACACTCGCTGCTCAACTCCCCGACGGCAGTTATTCGGCCGTTTATATATGAGATAACTAGACAGGCTTTGGTTCGAGAACCTTCTCGAATGAACTTCCGTCTCCTTCTTCTTGTTCTAGAAGCTTCTTAGAACGATCGAACCTCTCTCTCTAATTGTTCCATCGATTGTTTCCAGAACATTCCAGAATCTTCTGTGACGTTATCTGTCACCGCGGCATATATTGAGTGTTCGGGAATATGCTAGATGAGGTGCGTTCGGTTATAACATATCTGTTAGCTCGATTCCATCTCTTAGCTCGGAAAGCGTTCGATAAATCAGATCTACTTCCTCTGTCTAATCTGCTCCGTGTTCGTTAATTGTCAGAGCGAGCTGAAAGATGTAATCTGTTTGCTCCGCCTTGAGGAGCAGATCATTCAGATTTGATCGGTTATTCGGTTGTCAATTGTCAACAAATCAATGTCAACAACATGTTATTGAAATTATATCTCTTTTATGAAAAATTGAAGACTCGATCAACTGGAAACGAAACACGAAACTGAATTTTGTAGAATCCTCCTTGCCCAGAATCGCCAGAATGACCGACGAATTTGCTGTAGGTAGCATATTAATTATATATCTGTTATATATGCGATCACAACTGCCCTGGATCCACAGTTAATGACCGATCATATGAGACAGAATCATTCCTTCCCTAGTAATTTTCAAAATATAAACAACAAACATTCAAAAGAACTTTGTTGCCCTGACGTGTTTTTAAAAGTAATAAGGTTAAGTGAATTGTTTCTGTTTTCTGTTACTTCTGACAGCTGGCGCTCGCAATCTACTACCTCGTTGAGCGTTCGTTAAATACCATTAGCTCTATCTGCTAGGTGATCACGTGACACCAAATCTGCATCTGCTCGCTCGGCTCCGATTTTGTTAAACCGAACGCACCTTGCATTGGGAGGTAGGAGAGCAATCTGGTATGCGTGATACAGGATGATCGTTGTACTCCTGCCTTCCTGCTGATGTTTCTAAAGCCCCTCCAAGGGAAATATCATTACAATATTATTGAATACCATCAGAGGAATACATTCATAGGAAAAAACTCCCATCCACGTGTATTTTGAGAAAGTTATGATTTTTTTTCGAAATTCCGAAAAAGGGAGCCTTGCCCGACAGAATATCGTGAGATATACATATTATTGAGTACAACCAGAGGAACACATTCATAGAAAAAAACTCGCATCCACGTGTTTTTTGAAAAAGTTATGATTTTTTTCGAAATTCCGAGAAAGGGGGCGGCCTGTGGCGTTAATTCTTGCCCGACAAAATATTGTGAGATATACATATTATTGAGTACCATCAGAGGAACACATTGATGGAACAAAACTCCCATCCACGTGTATTTCGAAAATGTTATGAATATTTTTCGAATTTCCGCCTGTGGGGTTAATTCTTGCCCGACAAACTATTGTGAGATATACATATTATCAAGTACTACCAGAGGAACACATTCATAGGAAAATATTCCCATCCACGTTCATTTCGAAATAGTTATGATTTTTTTTAGAAATCCTGAAAAAGGGGGCCTGTGGGGTTAATTCTTGCCCGACAAAATGTTGTGAGATATACAGATTATCATAGACCCTCAGAAAAATTCATTGATGTAAAATAGTTTCATCCATGGACATATTTAGGAGGTTGAAGTAATTTCATGGCCAGCCATGAATCTAAATTGATAATGAACGACCATTGGTGGTATGGCGCGCGCCTTGAATATTAGGCGAAGTTGTGGCTAGAACTCCTGGCTGGTTTCACACTGATAAAAATAGGTGAAAACTCTTGAAAATTAGGCTCAAAATATACCTTAGCTACTCAATACCATTCAAGAGCTTCTCTTCAAATTTTTTCTATCGTCGTTTTTCTTATTTTTATTCTGATAATAGTGCTGGGACATATTGAGCTTTTCGCTTACTCTGTAAAATCTATTGTGACATTTGAATGAGAATATATAATTCAAATTCTGTATCAATTTATTGACATCCTAACCCTAGAAGAATAAATATCAAATTTTACTTTTGTTTCAATACAAATATCAATAATTATTTTCGAATAATAATTGACTGCATCATGATCCTTTTTGATATTTATAATATTTAATCACGTTCACTCTCGAATAATAGCAAAAACGAGAATATATTTCAAATAATGCGAGAGCTTTCCATTATCCAGCATACCACTGCCGGTTGCCTGAACAATATTTTTATATATTTTGTTTGCCTCACCCGTCATACACTCTAGATATTTAGCCGTCATTGTCTGGTGGCTTGTATTTGTGAAATTCAGTACTAAATTCACAATTCTAGTACTTTTTATAAGTAGGATCTAGTACTATATATTTTTGGCCATTCGGTTAGAAACCAGAAACAGCCCTAGGTAGAGGTCGGAAAGTATCGATACTGGCGTGTATCGATACTTCGATACTCTAATCAGAAAATTATAGATATATCGATACTTAGTATCGATACTTCGATACCCTACCCAGTATCGATATATCGATACAGTATGATATAACATTTTAACATTCTTTCATTTTAATCATTTTATTATATGGAATGAGAAAAAGGAGGCAATGAACACTGAAGAGAGAATGATTTATTCTTGGTAACAAATATAAAACTAACAATTTGTTACGAAGATATCATGAACACAAACGAAAATGATGTATTATCAGAAACAAAAATAAAAACAAATAATATGTAAAAAAGAGATCACGAACACTGAAACAAAAATGATTCATTTCTGTTCTGGTGTCAATAATTTGTGATTTATTCATCGAAATAGTTCCATACATCGGAATTATTATTTTTTGTTTCATTCATCTTTTCCTCAGAAGAATATTTTTTCGTTTCAACAGAAAAACAATGAGAAAATTTATCACTGACACGTAACAAGAATAAGGAATAATGTGTCAAATGTCAATGTCAATACCGTTGATAGTGTCAATGGTGGGATTCGTCAACTGTCAGTGAGTATCGATACCGATATTATAATAGTATCGATACTTCGCTACTCCGCATATAGTATCGATATATCCATACTTTCCAAGCCTTATGGCAAGATACCAAGATATGGAAAATTGTCAAGTTTCAAGTTGAAAGAGTTGTTTAGAATTTTATTTTATACTTACATACAGAGGTGTGAACAAGAAAACGAGATTAATTTTTTTATCATTGATATACAAGTGTATCCATCAGGTAAAAAATCAACAGGAAATCATAAGTAATTTTCAATTTTTTTTAATAATTGCTTGAATCTGTTGAGAGTAAATTTGCTTTTAGGTCACTTTTTCAACTTACTGTTTTCAATATTTTGCCAACCAACCCCACTGTTTTTTCCACAGATTAACAAACCTTAGTGGTTTTTGTTGAGGCCTATGGATCTTGTGTGGATATCTTTATCAATTTATTACCGCAAACTATAAACTGAACTGCATATTTTTATGAATCTCTTTATTTCATCTCACAACTGACACCGAGACTGACACTGACTTTTTGATAATTGACAAAACTTCAACTACAAAAGTAAGATGCCTATAACAATGGTGAAATCAGTTCTTTCAAGTTAGTATGATAGAACAGGTCATATTACAATGAATTCTATCACACCCCCTCAATTTAATGTATTAACAATTAAATTAAATTGTCATATTAGCAAAAATAACTCAAATAAAAATCAATCCAAAAAGTTACTTCGCTAAGATATCATTTCTGAAATTAACAAATTTTTCTTTCGGCAAAGGCTTCGTAAACATGTCTGCATAATTTTGAGAAGAGCAAACGT